ACCCCCAAATATTTTGCACCCCCAAGTTTCCAACCTCTGGTTTCCCACCGCCCCTAGAGAAATTTTCACACCCCCCCCCCCCAACAAAAATTGGGATAAATGAAAGTAGATTTTGAACTAAGGCCTGTTTTATACGTCGAATTTTGGTAGCGTCGAATGCAATTCAAACAATAGATAATGAATCATAAATTAGCTTTATCATCTCATTATATATTGTCTTAATTGCATTCGACGCAACCAGAATTCGACGTATAAAATAGGCCTAAGTAAGACTAAAAACAAGGATTTTGAACCAAATCAGACCAAAAATCTGGGGGCTTTGTCCCATTACTTCCATTAGTAAATGTGCCCCTAGAACCCTGCTGCAGCTTGCTCTGCGGCTATACGCACCCTGTCTCTCACATACCCTCCTCGGCACCTCTCCCCCCCCCAACAAAATCTGACGTTCTAACGGCCGTAACTAAAAGTAATACTTACATTCACAGAAGGAGCTGGCTTGATGGAGTTGTGTTCATTCTGGACTGGGATAAATAAGCTGCCATCAAGCACTAATGACGAAAGCATGCTGGTAAAGTTTGACGCGAGCATTGACCTTCCTATTGTGGAAACATGTTTTAACTCCATGACCATTCCATCTAAATTTGATAAGTTCGAAGATTTCGCCAAGATGATGGACATAGCAATCAAATATGGATCAAAGGGATTCAACTCTATCTAAATATTAACTGATAGAGCACTTGACATTGTTTCGAGTTGTCGCAATTGATGCGCGGTGTTTAACTTACAGTTAGTTAAAAACTATCGTGTCATTTTGTTCATGGTGTATTTCATGTTCTGTTCAAATAAGACACTCTTGCATAATATTGTATTATTTTTAGGTTATGTGATTTTAATGTTAAAGGTAAAATTTTTTGTTATAGGTTAAAATTAAAGTGATTGTTCAAAAGTTTCATCCTACGAACTTTATAATACTCCATATAAATTCACTACCCCTGCAGCAAGCAAGTCACAAAGTCGACTGCATCTATGTATTTTTCTACAATTTCATCCATACTCATTCCATCTTGGGCAGAGAACTGATAGATGTTTCCCATTTCTTCCATCTCAAGAGGGCACACGGTTTCTGGAACCTCTACTCTTTCTGATTCCAGCAATGGAACAGGCCCTTCGTAGTCCACCCCATAATTTAAAAAGTCGCCCTGAAAGAGAGATTACACTGACTTTATTCTCAAAAAATAAAATTTGATGACATACGGTTTACATAGCCATTAAAATTTTCAATTCAGTTATGTTTTACCTTATAATTTCCAACTCCGTCAAAATAATCAGATAAAAAAACTATACAGTACGCAAAGACGTGATTACCTGAAACACTTCCCTTGGTGCAGTTGAATCACTTCTGCAAACCATGTGAAGTCCTTTAACCCAGAGTTGTATTGGACTCATGTTTCGTTCAGTTCTTAAAGGATGGTGTATCCAGGCTTGTCTCCACGATTGAAGATGGTTGTTTTCAACCGGAAGAAATACAAAATGTAGACACCATAAATGCACTTCATTTTCATGATCAAGAATACCAAACCTCTCTAATGCATAAAATATGTCATAAAACAGGTAAAGGCACCCTTGGAACACATCTCTCTATGTTTCTATCCTCTGGTTATGAGTACTCCTACCTGTAAATGTCATTAAAAGTGTTTGTACATTAAAAAATAAGGATTTCCTTTGTTGATTTTATGAAAAAAAAGGTAATAATGCAGAGTACAGAAATTAGCCTTTCCCACGAAGGTTTAAATTCGCCATTTTTGGGTACTATTTTATAAAAACATGAAGTAGCTAAGCGATGTGAAACTAATTTTTGAAATTTGTAACTGTAAACAGATTTATGATTATACCGCATAACTATAGTTATAGAAAGGTCATTTTCAATGTTTACTATTACTAAAAAGGTTGCCACCCAAAAATTGTAGCTGGCGTGAGAAAAGCTAAATGAAATGCACATTTGCAATTCAATACCAGTTATCATGCTTCCGCGATCTGGCCCCCTCTGCTCATGTGTTAACATGTACCAAGAAACATCAACATTTTCCCCTCCTTTATCGGAACAGACTCGCGACGGTAGGCCATATTCATCAACAGCTCCCCAAAACAATTGGAGAACTGTATCAGCTCTGTTATTGTTTGACGTGTGAATGTAAACCGGTATCCTAGAGTAGCCATCTACACCACCATGCACAACTATCCTCCACCTGGAAAAAAATGGAAAATAGAAAACTTCCCTGTCATTCAACATTATTTATTTTGAGTATTAAGTAGTTGTACCGAATCAACTTGTGATGCCTGTCTATGTGCCAAAGAGCCAATGGCGAAAAGACGTTATACTTTCTTTTCTTTACTGCATTTTTCCATCATTGCACCGCACCATTTGGATTGGTTCTTAATGATTGTTTAATTTGCTCTCTTTGAATTCTGTAACCTTTGCTAAAAAGGGAGCCCTTCAACATTCGTATTCCAATGGAGCTGTTTTCATTCTGTGCCGCATTAACAAGTTCATCTAGATCTTCATCATTAATGTTGCTGTATTTAGCTAAATCAGGTACACAAATTATATTTAATTCATAATGCAATCAAGCTTGTAAGATTGGACCGTTTCCTCGGTTGGTCAATCCTGGCTTAAACTACTCCATTTCACATGTGTTCTCAGACATTTGCAAGTGGAGGTTAATGTTGCATGTATGATGTATTTGTTAATTTATATCGACCTTAATGTTTATTGGTCGAAATTTGTAGGCGATAATATGTACATTTAAGATGGAGTAATACGAGCAACAAAATCTCTACTTAACATGCGTTGAAATCAGGTTTTGTTGCAAGTTGCTGCAATTTTGTTGCTTGAATTACTCCAGCTTTTATACCTAAACGTGCAACGCAACAATGTTGCACAGGAAAATCACTGTGCCTGTAATATGTTGCCCGCATTTGCTCACCTTTAATGCTTAGGTCGAATGCAGCGAGCCTTCTTTCTACTGTACGCTGCCCAACACCCAAAATGCTACTCATTTCTTTGACAGTAAAACCCTGGTCAACTAAAAACGATAATTGCTCCTGCGATATAGAAATTCTAGGTCTTCCACGACCGGAACAAATAACGTAAGGGTGATACTGCACATCAACATCTCGGCTTTCGACCATTCGTTCCGACATTCTGTCTAACTGTTGATACACTAACGAGAATGCATTTATTACTTCCTCTGGTAAACCCAAAGTTACACTCATCCTATTCACGTAGTCTAGTCGTAGCTTCATCAGATCAACATTTTCATTATTCACTCCTTCGGCGATATCTCTAATGACCCAAGCAATTTTGACATGTGTTAACTCTTGGTCTTGCAGGTTTGCCATGTTTGATTTATATATGACGTAATTATGACAAGTTTGTATTACGTAATTTTGGCGGCTTTTGTACAAGCAGCGGCAAATATCGCAATTTTCAACTTGACAAATCGCAATTTTCAACTTGACAAATTGCAATTTTCAACTTGACAAATCGCAACTTTCAACTTGCAAATCGCAACTTTCAACTGTGCAAATCGCAACTTTCAGTATAGCAAATCGCAACTTTTGATATTAGATTTTTTTCACCAAGTTCATTGTTGCATGCAGGAAAGTCGTTAAATGTTTGTGTGGTAAACAATTGTCAAAGAACTTGACAAATTGCAACTTTCAACTGTGCAAATCGCAACTTTCAGTATAGCAAATCGCAACTTTTGATATTAGATTTTTTTCACCAAGTTCATTGTTGCATGCAGGAAAGTCGTTAAATGTTTGTGTGGTAAACAATTGTCAAAAGCCATATGAAAAATTATGGGCAAAATTAAATGTTGATTCCCCATGTTAAAAGTCGAATTGCAATATTGATTTTTGGCGGTGATGGAACGCCATACAGTACCACTGCCAGATTTGTCAATGCGATGATTTCAAGTAAATGTATATCCCGGAATAACAACTTGATTGGAGGTTGAATTAGTAAGCCAAGTTTCTGTTACGGCAATGACAGAGAGTGGAGTCTGCAGACTAGCTAGCATTAATTTAAACTTGTCAAAATTTCTGATTAGACTATGTGCATTTAACTGCATGATAGAAAAAGTCGGACTGTGTGACTCAGCTAATACTTTGGCATTAATTTCTTCTTCTGTAAAATAATTACTAGTAGGAATATTGACAGAGAAATTAGTGTCTGGATCAAGATAGTTAACAAAATTGTTATTAAAATTAGCTTGGTTAGTAGGATTGAATATAAGAGTTTCTAAGCGGTCGTTATCATAATTTATTCGGCCATGGGATAGTTCATAAAGCATTAAATTGAAAGAAGCATTATCCAAATGATAAAACGGCAGGTTTGATGAAGTATTAGTTTATTATTATTAGTTTATTATTATTGGGTGTGAATCTTCAGCTTTTCGCAGATAGATGGTTGAGTTCTTAATCCAACAGAATCTATACGCATACTGTTGTTGGAATTTCTTTGCTTCCGTTAAGAGCTTTTGCACTTTTGGAGTGAGGTGATCATAGACTCTGGCATTTAATATTTGCTAGCGTCTTGTCTGTGGATCATAACTTGTTCTTTCATACATCTTCTCGTAAATTTACAAATTATGGGCTTATGATAAGCTGGATTTCTAGATGGGACTCTGTGTGCAATATCAATGTCTTGTGAAGTAATATCCACACCCATTTTTTGAAATAATTTAACACAGAGATTAGAAGTTTCTTGTGCTGATTCTTTTGATTTCAACTCTGGTATTCCGATGATCTTTACATTGTATTGATAACTATATCGTTCAATATTATCAATCGCTTCGCCAATTTCATCTACTCTGGCTGTCAGGTTATCGAGCTTCTTGTTTAGTTGAACAAACTCTTTTTGGCTTCGCGACGAAAGCTTGATAACTCATAGCCATTGCTTAAAAAATCGAGACTTTTATTCGTTTCGTTTGATATGCTTGAATGGACATCTTTTGTGTCATTGGATTGAGCAATACATCGCTCCAAAGTGGCTTCAAGATTCTTAAACTCCTTTCTCAGCATATTCACTTGTATCTTGAGCTCTTCATTTTCTAACTTTAGCGATTTAACTGTATCAGGCATGATACAAATTATACTTGAGTATTAAACATCCAATATTTCAATTCTTATTTGTAAAATGTTATTTGTATATACGTAGTAAATACGGAGCTCAAAAATGCGCGTCTGAACTCGTTACATATAGTATAGTATAATTCACTGACTTGACTATCAAAAGTTTTCACGCTGTCTGTTATGCTGCACACTGTCTGTTATGCTGCACACTGTCTGTTATGCTGCACACGATATTATTAGTTACACTGGACAATTCACCTACTTTAATTTTAGAGCTCAATACTTGATAAAATTCCACTACCTCATCACTGGACATTAGTTGAATTGTATCGTGCGAAGTATTCATTATCCTATCTGGCACATGTTTACCCCTGGGATGTACTACAATATGTGAGATATGTATGTCGTGTTAGTGAGAAGAATGTGGTTTAACCATACCCACATTAGCTGCAGTTATTTTAGCCAACTTACCATCAATAGTAACCTCAGTTCTGGCTGGAATCACTACATCCTCGTTAAGGTAAACCTCAATTGGACTATTATACTGCGACTGAAACAACAAATATGAGTCACCGCCTTGCTCAGTACCATAATCAGGTTTTTCAGTAGAAGTGTTCGACTCTACAATCCCAGATAAACCATTTGCATTTGAAAAAGCTCACATTTTCCCACGAGGTCCCTTCAGGGAATAGAAGCTAGTACCACCCGATATACCCCTTTGAATATCTAAATTATTGTTGACTAAAAAACCCCATCCTAATACGCAGTCAAACTGTATATCAGTACTAATAATAAACGGTATAGCACTATAGGTGTATCAACTACCAGTAAAATTAACATTAGCATTTATCTTACCAAAAATATTAAGTGAATCGCCCATAATAGAGTTGCATCGTTCATCAGTTTTATCTACTCTATTGCCTTCTAAGTCAATTATATTATAAAGATCTTGTCGTAAGAAAGATTTCATACAACCTGTATCAACTAAAGCATGCACACTAACACCATCTATATTACATTTAACAAAGGGATGTGTGGGTATTTAAATGTCATTTGGCTTGACTCGTTCATGAACGTCGAGGGGTGGGTGTCATTCCCACTTGTGACCTCAACCCCTGTTCGTTCAAAGGAAAATTATTTACACAATTTTTTGCAACATGCCCAAAACTTTGACAACTATAACATTGAATCAAACCTTTACTTGGTCATCGATTTCCACCTTGCTGTCGGCAGCGACAATTTCGGGCAAAATGTCCTGGTTGACCACACATATAGCATAGAGGCTCATCACTCCATCTTATTGTACTTCGACCACTTCCTTGGGTGTGTTAATAGTTGTTGCGGTTAAGGCTTCTTCCAAGTTATGTTGTTTCATCACCATTTCTTTTACCATGTCCACTAGTTCTGCTAGTTTATCTAGTTGCGCTGGAGTAGAAAACGAGCTGGACGCATTAAAGCGGGCTTGTTGTTCTGGTATGTCAGGTCATCTTGTAATAATTTTATTTTCATATCATCCGGTAATCCTTGCATGAATTGCTGTGTGAGTAACGCTTCTTTCGTGGGTTTATCAAAGATGGATCTGCTTTTTCTAATGCTTGTTCAATTTCCCACTTGTATACCACCTGATCTTCGCCTGGTCTTGCGACTCGAATTTGCGGTAATAAATCTCTCGATTGGCAGGTGGACATAAAGCTTCGTTCAGACCTTTTACAGCGTCCGGGTAAGTCTTCCGACCATTCTTCGACATAGCGTAAAAATGGGTCGTGGCAGGACCTCGAAGGAATGCTGGTAGTTTCTTTACTCAGCCGGCTAGTTTTATGAATTAGCCAGTCATTTTAGTTGTTAGCCGGTCGTTAGCTGGTCGTTTTAATATACATTTGTATTGCTAGCCGGTCGAAATGTTGCAAAACAAAATTCATTTGACACTTAGAAAAAATCCAACACTGGCTAGCTACAAAACTGGCCGGGTGACTTTTTTCTATGTATAAGTGTTGTAAGTGTTGATCAATCCTATAAAACTTGGTTGACACTTAGGAAGAAAATTGCACTTGGCTACTTTAATTAATATACACATTAGTAAAAAGATAATTGGATAGTATATAGAAGAAAAGAACGCATATATTTTTATAACTTCGCGCATATTTATCTTTTCGATTTCACTCTTACAACCCATCGAAGAGCATACAAAATTTTACACTCGAAATGGAGATACTATAACTATTTTCCAAATATATGGTATTAAGCAGATTAAATTATGTGCTTAAATCCTTTCACACTCCATACTGCCCATTTCTAATTGAACGTGCACCGTCCAGCAATGAAGTCCTTCTAATTGTAACTTTGATTTTTATTGGCTGAAACTTTCATGTTGGTATAGGCAGAGCCAGTATCACATCAAAGTCAATGTCACAATTACAAAACTAGCATGTAATTAACATTAACAAATCATGCAACGTTCATTTGCATAGTAATGGTTCATAATCAAACTGTTCGTTTCATTGAACAAACCTAAGTCTGGTGAATATGTTATTGTAACATTGAACTAAATAAATTGTGTTATACAAAACGTTGTCAAAAATGTAATGAACTGATTCAATGGCTTCTATTATATGTTTTGTCTAATGCGCCATTGTTTTCAATTATCAAACTGTCAGTCGCTAATATGTTGTGACAAACACATATATATATATATAGGTACCATGATAGGTATTTCCAAAACTCATAAATAATTGATGAAGGATTAGGCCCCAGTTACATGATACTGGATTTGCATCGGCGCAACATCGAATTTTACTGCTTCGTGGTGAATTTGGCAATTATGATAATATAACATAACTAAACAAAAACTTCAAATATGAAAAGTTGTAACAGAAGACAAAACTGGAAAACACATTAAATTGATGTCGCTATCTGGTATCGTGTAACTGGGCCCTTAATGTAGCACAAGGCCAGCATACCTAATTTTAAGAATTTCTTATCACTGCACATTTTTGTGCAAAGTTTAGCCGAACAGAAACACGCCCTGAAAATTTCTGAATACACTCTTATAGTAACGTATAACAACAAAATAGGCTACAATTGTTATTCAAAAATGCCAAAATGAACATACACTGCATGCACAGCACTCAGGGAAATTTGGGGGCCCAGGACAAACTTTAACTTGGGGGCTCTCGTGATTCCATGTTCTAACACTATGATTAGGGGGTTTGGTTTTTTAAAATCTGAGGTCCCAGAAATGGCCAAATCCTGCATTCTGGAAGTCTAGTTGACAGTTATATCTATGTAGGCCTATATTTCACTGCAATTCTTTATTTGGGCCCCCTTTAACTGGGATCCCAGGGCAAATTGCACCCCTCTGGGCGTCCTTGACAGCACCTGCCAGTTACGACTATAGATAGAATAGATAGATAGAAAAACTTTCTTTATCCACGCTAACCCTGTCAACCGAGGCTGATTTTCACAGGGGGCATGTCTATCTATGACAGCTTAGTTTCATAATAACATGACTGAAGAAAATAAATATTTTCGTCCTAATGGCAAATGAAAGGCGGCTTACGTGCTTAGACGTGACAAACCTCTAGAGGAGTTCCAGGGGCATGCACACACAGTCAATTTTGTAATCTAGGCACTATGAAAGGGCATCTCCTGCAATGCGTGGGGACATTCTATAGAATTCTGAAAATTATACAGTAATTACAAAATCACTCATTTCATCTTCCAAACCCATAAAGAGATTTGGTGAGAGACTTTGTTTATCTGATGAACCATAAGTATGTTTTTAGTGCGGACGTTCGATAATTTGGCAGTCATCATTTCAATTTCAATTAAATCATTCACATTCAAAATGTTTCGCCGGATTAGTTCAGTTTTTCTGCTAATTGTCTCATTTTCTTGTGTTAATTAACAACTTATCAAAGCAAATTTTATCACTGCACATTTTACTTTTATCACTGCACAAATTGGTTATCACTGCACACTAAAATTAGGTATGAAGGCCAGTGTCCAAAAGCTGTTTGGATCATATTTGGTGCAGTCACCCAGAACGTTTAAGGAATGTACAAGTATTGATGTCGTTTACTTTTATCACTGCACAAATTGGTTATCACTGCACACTAAAATTAGGTATGAAGGCCAGTGTCCAAAAGCTGTTTGGATTAAGGAATGTACAAGTATTGATGTCGCTATCTGGTATCATGTAACTGGTCCCTTAATGTAACTGGGCCCATATTTGGTGCAGTCACCCGGAACGTTTAAGAAATGAACAAGTAGACAAACTCTGGCATGTCAGACCATTTACCTGTTTTTGCAACTAGGATTTACAAACGAAACAAACTGATGTCGCTATCTGGTATCATGTAACTGGTCCCTTAATGTAACTGGGCCCATATTTGGTGCAGTCACCCGGAACGTTTAAGAAATGAACAAGTAAAAAACTCTGGCATGTCAGACCATTTACCTGTTTTTGCAACTAGGATTTACAAACGAAACAAACGAAATAACAATTCTCATAATGTCATTAACTTCAGAAACATGAAGCAACTAGACACAGGTAAATTCATTTCTGCTCTCAAAAATGCCCCATGTGATTGTGCCTTTTTGTTCGAAGATATTGACGAAGTACTTGACACCTGGTATGATATATTCAATTCTATTATCGATGAATATTTACCATTGCAACAAAAGCGCATAAAACGTGAAGTCCAGCCTAAGTGGTTTACCAACAATATCTCACAAAAGATAAAAAGCTGTGACAAAGTGTTAAAGAGCAATCTAGAAACCGATTGGAATGTTTATAAGAAAGCAAAAAAACAATTTTACCAGTCTGATTAGAAATGCTAAACAAAACTATTTTAAAGACAAGTTTTCTGAACACAAGAACAATTCAAGTAAGCTTTGGAACCTTATTAAGTGTTTGTCTAAAGACGGTGGTGAAAATAAAAGCGGAATCTCTCACATTGTTGAAAACAAAGTTGTGATAACAGATAGTACTAGCATTGCGGAGATTTTTAATCGCTACTTTATTGACATACCTACGAAATATCTCGCCTCACTTGCCGAATATCAAGGATTGACAGATGTCTCCTTCGAAACGAGTATCAATTTTGCAATTTTGCCCATCACTGAAAACGATGTATTAGAATTGCTAATGTCAGTCCCATCCCACAAAGCTACTGGTGATGACGGAATAGGTATAAAGATCCTAATGACTGCCGCACCTGCAATAGTACCCTCTCTCACAAGAGTACTAAATTTGTGCCTGACCAAGAAACACTTCCCGAAAGCATGGAAAATAGCAAACGTTTCACTGTTTTTAAAGGAAATGGAAGCAGAAACGATAAAGAATGCTTTTGGCCAATATCAGTACCCCAATTCTTTCGAAACTGTTGGAAAAACTGATCTGTCGTTCAATGAACAAATTTCTCCGTGAAAATAACACCCTACATAAATTCCAGTCTGGCTTCAGGAAAACATTCTCTACCGAAACAGCGTTAGTAAGACTCGTAGACCTTGACAAAAACAATGTCTCCGGAATTGTTTTTGTGGATTATAAGAAAGAGTTTGATCTAATTGACCATGAACTGTTATTACAAAAACTCGAAGTACTCAGTATTGGTGATGATTACCTTCCTCTATTTACTAGTTTTCTGAGCGATCGAAAACAGTACGTAAACATTAATGGATGCCATTCTAAGACTGAAAATGTAAATTCTGGTGTTCCGCAAGGAAGTATATTGGGACCTGTGCTGTTTCTGATATTTATTAATGACTTGCCGATATATATATAGTTGATATATATGCGGATGATACTACAATTAGTTACTCTGATCATTATAATATTTCACCTCAAGCTATTAGTAATAGCATCCAGACGGATATGAATGAACTACAAAATTGGTCAATAATAATCGAATGACACTAAACGAAAGAAAGATGAAATCTATGCTCATTACAGAAAAACGGCCAGATAAAAAGCTGGCAAGTTTGGATTTGCAAATCGAATTAAACAACACTACTATTGAACAAGTTGATGTTTTCAGTTTGCTGGGACTAAAGATAGACATGAGATTGACATTTGATGAACACGTCGACTCTCTTCGCAACAAGCTGTCGCAGCGAATTGGTGTCCTTCGAAAGATCAAGGTTTTTTTCCCCTCGAGCAGAGAATTCTCTACTACAATGCTATGATTAAACAACCGATGATGTATGGCTCAACTGTGTGGTCTGCCTGCTCTTGTGAGAATTTAGAAAGTGTTTTGCAACTGCAAAAGACAGCTGCTAGGGTCATATTAGATACGGACATGCGAGTGAAGCAAACAGTGCCAAACTCTTCAAAAAACTAAATTGGTTGCCTTTCCTCTGTGAAGTCAAAATTCAGATGTGTGTTTTGGTTCACAAACGTCTTTATGGAGAATTCCCAGCTTATATTAAAGAAACGTTGGGGGTAAACTCAGATATCCATAACCGATCAAGTCGTTATGGCTCAATAAACATAGTTTGCCCACGTTTCAATAGAGAAACTGAAGGTGGACGGACATTCTCAATCAGAATGTCAAGATTATGGAACAGCCTGCCAAATGAACTGAGGTCCATTAATAGTATAAACATTTTTAGATCATCTTGGAGAACTTTTTATATTGACATTCTAAAGGATATGAACCATCTTAAAGTATTTTAAACTTTTTACTAGACCATTAGTTATTTAATTCCTACCATATATATATATTTGCATGCTATACGCCTGTTGCCAGCATCCACACGTCGATTTCGGGATCGGGTTTCGTCCAGAATGCGATTTCATTGAAATCTCATTTCAATTTCGCCTGCCGCCAACATTCAATAAATGAATATGACCCTCTGGAGATTCTTGTAAAATTTGTATTTTATGTGATTGGCAACCTTCATCATATGTATGATATATTGTTTAATTGCCAATGTTCTGGAGTGTCGTTAGGTAGTTGGGACCCTTCATGAGATGTAGATGGTTGCTGATTTATGATTGTTGCCGGAGGTTGGATTGGTGGATCGGTTGTTTCTGTGCCTGCGTCAGCAACTGGTGCCATTGGAAGATCTTGTAGTGTTGGTGTTGATGGTTGCTCTGTTGGAAAAGTTGGGAGTGCAGCGGTGGTGTCCTTATTCTCGTTGGATGCCTCAATTGGTTGGACTTGGGATATTTTATGTTATATTGGAGAAGTTGGTAGTTGAACGGTGGTGTTCTCATTTTTGCTGGATGGTTGAACTGGTTCAATTTGGGGCACTTGCAGATCTTTAGGTGATGGTGTTGATGCTTGTGCCATGTTCTCAATATCCTGGTCAACTAATTCAACATTGGAAAGCGAGTCATTGTCAGAGGAACTGTCGCCCATGAACAATTGGCGGCTACGTTTACGTTTTCTACCTGGACGTCTGTTTTTCAATTCAGCTACGAACCCAGGATGTATTATGGCTTTGTCATTCAGTTGTCTGTTGGGATTTTGTGCAGGCTCAAGATCTGCCTCCCTAATTTGGATGATGTCGCTCCTTGTCCACTGAGCATCAGAAATGCGCAAAGGAACAAGACTGTTGTGGCTGCTATGCTCTTCGTACCACTCTTCTGGAGCGATCAGACTTCAATTTCTGTTTATCTGGTCAGCAATCCACGCGATGCAGTGCATTGAGTTATCAAATAACCATTTGTCGATTCCAAACATTGTTGTGGGAAGGGACGAGGTGTTGAAAATTTGAATCCTTCGCTGCATGTTGTCGTCTTCAGCTCCGAAATTGGGGACAGTGTTGGTTTTGATGTAGAATTGGCTGAAGGAGTTCACACATATCGGTTGACCATGCTTGACGGCAGTTACCATCCAGCCACCTTGCAGGATCGTCTTCGCAAGTTCGGAATTCATCCTGGTTGCACACCATTCGTCAATGATGATTAGTCATCGGTGATCATGCATGCCGAAAATTGCTGTTTGTTGGTGATCGAAGCAATATATTCTGGGGGATTATGCGGTGAAAGATATTTGCCCACAAGGTCTTGCCTGAATCTCGGGGTCCTGCGACTACCAATTTCCTTGACTTCTGTGGCATTTTGCATGCCACTAAACACTGGAAGAATTTGTTGAGGAAATTCAAACAAACTTCGTCGTCGGGGAAGGAGTTATACACACCTTCACAAAAGCACTGAGGTTCAGGTGTGGTGTAACAGTTGTAAGTGACGTAGGCTTGTGGTGACAGCTTGCCAATTTGCGACTCTCCAATAGGATTGTGTATGAAGGATCGGAGGGAGATGACAAAGCAAAATCTGTTGGACACTTCTATCAGATTGAAATCGAAATTGATCTGTTGCACAATCTTGCATGCTGGGTGTGACAAAATTCTTTTGACAGTGCTGAAGTGTTTCACGAGATCTTGGTTGATGGCTTGGTTGGCAAGGAGCTTGTTGAGTTAGCTTGAAGTATCCATGCCATAAATTTTGCGGATTGTGGATATGACGTTGTTTGAAGATGCACCCGATGCAAGTGTCTCCAACTCTGTCTCCAATGTTGTTTCCACCACAAGACCATCAGATTCGAGTTTTTTTATGATGCTATCAAATGCTTCCAGGAATCCACCGTGATTTACAATGACAAAGCAACAAGGAACGGTTGGAAAGTGTTTCGGATGGAACTCCCCGTACTCTTCTTCACCTTCGCTTTCCGCTTCGCTTGATTCAACTCATGCGCTCTGATAGCAGTAGGTGTTGGAAACATCAATCATGTCCTGTATCGAGCGATTGTTATGGTCCTTTATCACTTGGAACAGCTGTCAAGCTGCTGTTTCCATTTCTTCATTACCATGGTTTCTCACCCTGATAGGAGTAACGTCGACTTCATGGTTGTATAAGGTTGCAAAAAACATGTTGTTACACCTCTCGCTCGGCTCATAGACAATGAAGAAGGCGACGCAAGGGTATGTGTCAGTTTCTTCTTGTTGACTGTCTTGCTTGCTTCGTGTTGGGATTTGAGCAGACGCTCGAAATGCAGAAGAAAAAAATTACTCCATCGATGGAATTGATGGCATCGTTTAGCAGCATCCTCTTGGAAGTGATCTGCAGCATTGCAAGTTCAACATCGTCTAGTGGACTCTCCAAGTTGCACAACACACGACTGCTCGATGATTTTGTTTAATCTAACAGACATAACATAGCGAATGTTCATCCTTTATTTAAGAGTATAATTTATCATATATTCGTGTTGCAAAATATTTATTTACAGAAACAGTAAAAAGGTAGAAACTTACCAAGCTCAAAATATTCGCTCGAAGCGAGTTTTGCAGTCACTTACAATCTAGTTCTTTCCATGGCTTCGGTGGCATTTTGTCGAGTAATACAATATACAGTTCAGAGATTGTGTTGTTTGAAAAAAAAAACGGTGACCATATCATTCTTCATCAGTTGATTAACATATCCATTGTTTAGATGACCAAATCTCTGGTGCCACATATCCAAGGGTTCAGTTGTAGGATGGGCAAATTCAAGTGGATTAACAGTATACAGCATACCATCTACCAATTTACAAATCACATATTCTTTTTCTTCCTTGGAAACAACACATTTTTCGTCATCGAATGACACTTTAGCTCCCATTGAAGCCATTGCAGGCACAGACAATAGGTTTTTTGCTAACATTAGCACATACAATACCTTGTGTAACTCCAAATAGAATGTATTGTCATTTTGAGCATATAGCTTAACCATTCCTTCACCCAGGGGCTTTGATACAGGTATTGTCACCCAAATAAATATTCACCGGTGTTTGGTATTGAGTGTAGTTGATGATAAGGTCCTTGCGATTTGTAATATGCTTTGTCGCAGCGGAATCCTCATACCATTCATTTGAATTTCCTGTGCTTGAAATCAGTGCTACTCCACCACCTTCTGCAAGCTTTGAATGTTCCCCTTTGTTTCCACCTTTTCTATTGTTGAGTGGACAGTTCCTGGCAATGTGTCCAGCTTTGTTACACTTAAACCATAAAATATCTCTTGCTCTTCCGTCATCACGTTGTTGTTGTGCTACTGGTGTCAATATATCCCCACCTTTATTGGTGTTCCATGATGGCTTGTAGTCTACAGGAGTCCAATTTCTAGAATGTTCACCATGTCTTCTTCGATCATAATTTCTTCCTCTGCTCATGTATGACTTCCTGTTTCTAAGCAATGCATTGTCACTCTTGTTATTCTCAAATTTTTCCTTTCTCTTCAAATACTCTTCTATTAACAATCCCTTTATATTGTCCCATTCCAACTCTTCAGCTTTCCTCACATTCAAACTTGTGAGGAGATTTTCATATGATTCGGGTAAACTGCCCAGCACCACAGTAGTGAATTTCTTTGATGATATATCTTCTTCCATTTCACGCAGTTGTTCTGCCAATGATGTCATATAGGTCAGGTGTTTCATAAGATCTCCACCTTCGTCCATGGTGGCTGCATAGAATTTACGATTCAAACGCACGACTTGGGTAACAGGTACAAACTCGAATTGTTTTTGCAAGTTCGTCCATGCTGCTAAAGGATCTGTCGTACTCAAAATGTGTATTTGCAAGTGTTTCTCGATGTTTAAGGCAATCAGAGAGTAGGCTTTATCTGATCGCAACTGGAAAGCATTCTTTATAGCATTTGTCGCATTTTCGTCAGGAGGTATTTCTTTGCCTTCTTGTGTAAAGCCCCAAAGGCCACGTTCCATAAGAACTAGCTTGATATTGTATTTCCAAGACTGATAATTCTTGCCATTTAGCTTATCGATCTTTGTAATTCTGCCATATTAGACTCGAAATATTTTCACCAAAAATTTCAGCCAAACAGGACAAATAAACACGTTTTAATTCAATTCCACACGTCCTGGGCCCATAACCTATTGAAATTATTCGCTCACTTTTGATTGTATAACTATTTATTTGAAGATAAACATACCTTGAATTAATAATATGAATTGATTTTCTAAAAAGCATGTCCGACCGAATGTCCACATCAGAGGAGAGAATCTCATTAATCTTTAACCAATCATATTTAGCGTTATAGAGTTTAGTGGGAACTTATTATTCTTAACATAATCTGCCAAAACTAAACTTTGACTCTTGAAACCACATTTACAACTTCATTGTTGAGGGGCCTGTACCGGTTTTGCGGGATGGGCCATAATTTCGAGCGGTATTCGGGATTGTAAGAAGAATATGCTTCGGGAAGCGGGATTTAATATCATCGCGGGAAGCAGGACTAACAAAAAATCAAGGCGAGATGCGGGAAAGTAACTATGATTTAGCGGGATACGGGATATATATCATATATCAACAAAACTTTAGTTTAATTTAATTGTCAGTTGTTTTAAAAATTTCATTCTTTCTATATTAAAATTATCCTTCTATTGCTTCACCTACCCCCCTTGATTATCTGCTATCCTTTAATGTGCCTATTAGCGCAGCTATTTGTGTCTACCAGTATCCTAGTCTATCCCTTTGTGTATCCTATTGCAACCTATTGTTGTTGCCCAGTTGCTGTAAAAGTAAAATGGAGCCATTTTGGACATACTGTTGAAATGTGTGGAAATATGCAAATGTCGATGCAAATTTAAAAATTGACATGGCACATACTCGTGTAGTAATAAATTGTGTAGCATTGTACTATACAAAAAGGGCCAGTGGTACTAACTACATCAAGAAAGAAAAATTGAGAGCTGAAATTCCCCGAGAAGAATCTTAGAATGTTGAAAAATATAATCAGGTACGGGTATTTTTTTTGAGTGTTCGATGCCTTGCCATTCAATTTTATAATTTTGAATGACATGGTATATGCCAAATATGGTTTAAATCATGACTGTATATTTCGTTTTCGATTTTATAGCGAGTATGGTGGAATTAAAGACGTTGCAAAGAAGGCAGGGCTGGGATCAAATGTTGATATTAAAATGGCGAGAATGAGTAAACCACCATCTGGACCACCTGAATGCTTTGCAATTAACACTGATGTTTAGGCAAAACTTGAAATGCAGAGCATTATAACCAGGACTGATTCTTTACAACGTAAGTAAGACACTAGATATTATATGTTGACAATTTTGTCAAGTGAAATTATTTGAACATCTTACATATGTTGTGGCCTTCCTGGCCTTATTTGAAAACTAACCCCCTTCTTGAAATGTCAGTAAATCATTAACAAGTTGCAACCTTCAACAGCTGAATAGACCTGCATACAGTCAAGCTGTCTAGAAGGAATACCTACTCCAGATTGTACATGTGAGAAATACGTGGGATAACTGGCTAATTGCACATTTTTCTGTCCAAATTCCCCAGGGGAGACGGGAAGGATGGAGTGACTAAATGTTGGGGACTCAACCATCATATAATATAGAAGGGCAATGGGGGAGACAAACCATTATTATCGATTTCAGCTGACTTTTTGATGTACAGTTTCCAAGTTTGTTGTCAATATTCCCAATTAATGGCTGACACGGATCAGTGTTGGGTGGGAATCTTCAAACCAACTTCACAAGTTGCTTATATAAAAGAGTGATTAATGTGGATTGTTTGTTTGCACTATAAAACAACCACAATGGCTTTACCAAGCATCCAGTGCTACATTCCATGCAAAACCCACACTGAATGTGACTGGTATATATGTTGCTGTACATTAATTTGTTATTCAACTATATATGTTCAAGATCTTATCAAGCTCTCCTGTAGTGTATGTATATATGACTGCCTAAAAATATTTGTCTTGTTTGAATACAACAGTAACCCTATTTAATATATTTTAGTGAATGTTTACCCTGTTGAGATAGTGTTTTCTACATGCTGTCCAAGAATAGTTGTGGAAATTTCAGGGGAGAAAGCAAGTACAGGTGGAGAAAAATCTGCAGTGGAGAAAGTAAATCATTATTGACTGATGAAGATAAAATTAGTATCAAAGTTAAAAACAAGACCATAAATTGGCCATGGCAAATAAAATGTGGAAAATGTAAGAAGTTGCTACAACTACATCTAGATTCTGGAACACAAGGCAAAATCAAATACTTTGAAAAACGTAAGCATTCAACTAATATTATTTAGCATTGTTCATCCTTTCAGATAGTAATTTTTGGTTCAAAAAATGTAAAATGTGAAAAATGAGAGTGCTTGATGCCATAAACATACAGCAAACAGTATAGAATATGAGTTTGTAGACACTCAATTTATCTTGTGTTCAAAACAAGTCAGACTTGTTAGATTTGTATTAAATGGTGGAAGAGCAATGTCAAAAATCTTAAGTGGGAAATAAAATAAGAGTCAAAAAGTAAATAAAATGATTAAATGCTGAATTAATTGCCTTTATTGACTTTATTGTAGAATTATAGAAGAAGGTCAACAAGGGGGGATGAATTATGACAGTGATGTTGATGCGGATGAGCAATGTTATTGGTCAAATGTATCAAATAAGAATGTAAATAGTGATGTTGCTTTCACATCTAAAGATGAATTAAGTTACAGTAGTTCTTTAATTCTTTAATCAAGTACTCCTCAGACAGTTTACACTATACCAGGAGATATAGAAATATAGCTAACTATTTACAATAATATGGTAATATTAAGGTATGTGCTTACCATAATAAAAAGATATAGACTACGATCTCACGAAAGTAATTGCTTTCTCCTTAAAAACAGAAAAACTACTAAGATTACTCATTGTCAGTGGGATATTGTTCCACACAATAATAGTTCTTGGATAAAAAGAATGCTAGTTTGCAAATGGTTATAGGGGATTTCGTTTGGTAGTCATGAAACATGTCTCCGATATAATGGGGAGACTTCTGATGGAAAATTAATTCCTACTAAACCTTGATTTATTTTATAAAACATAGTTAAAGGACATCGGCAATGGATTTTTTTATTGCCTTGTTTTGTTCTCTATAATTGTCGTAGTCAATATATGTATTTCATTTGCGATGAAAATATCTCAATTTGTAGTAAAGGTGGAGTAATACGAGCAACAAATTACTGCAATATTTCGCACAACATTGTTGCGTTGCAAGTTGCAGCAAGATATTGCGCGTATTACCAGCCATTTATGCAATTTGACCTGCAACAAAATTTTGTGTTGCAAGTTGCCGAAAATAATTCTCAACCCAGGATCTTTGCAAATGTCCGTGCTTTATAGACAGCTGTGATTGGTTAATTTTTGCATGTGTTTCTGCAAATACAAAATGGCGGCTGCTTTTATACAGCACCAAAGAAAGCGAGTTCTTTCGCTTTTGGGTTTTGCTTTGTTGGCTGATGAAGACAAGGAAGTTATGCCAAATAAAAGAAAGAGACAGCAGTATATGAGAGAATGGATTGCTAGAAGAGAAGAAAAAGGCGTCTACTATCAACTTATACGGGAATCAGAAGTGGAAGATAACACACCATATCGTGAATTTTTCAGAGTAAGCAGAGAACAATTCTTGTTCCTTGGTGTCATACAAAGTAAATAGAGTTGGGTGCATGAAGGTGCAATGCAGCTTAATGGTTATGATTTAATTAATATTATTCATTCAATTATGCTATCTTAGAGTCTCAAATCTTGAAGTGTTGGATAGAGAGGATGGGCAAGGGAATATTTTACCTGGACATTGGAGAAATGATGAGGCATCATGGCAGGAATTTCGCCCCAGTGTAGTAACAACTACTCAAATGAAGCACGGCTTATTAGAGAGGAGTACATGCAATATTTTAATAATGAAGGTGCAGTCCAATGGCAATGGCGACAATGTGGTATAGATTAAAATTGTAATATAACAATTAATGCCTGTTCACACGGGAGGTTTTTGTGTCGCTTCAAGGTGCGATGTTCTTTTTCTGATGGATGTCAACAAGCAGATGAGTCATAAATTTTCTAAGTATCTGTACCCTCATGTTAACATTCGAAGCTCATCCACTTGTTCGTATCCATCGAAAGAAAATCAACACAAAAATCGCCCTTGTGCATGAACAGGCATTTTTTTATCACAGCTGCCATGTTATTGTTGCAACATGGTTATCAAATGGAAACAAGGCTTATTGTGGTATATCAAACATTCTTTCAAATTTTATATTTTTAAAACAATTGCAATGAACTACAATTAATAACATTCTCAATCACTCAATGAATTATGTACATATCAATGGCATTATTTAAGTTGCAAATTAACTGAATAATTATTCGATTAAAAATTAATATTATTTGATACAAATTTTAATTAATTTAAAGTGTCAATTTTAAAATCTTACTTGCACCTCTGATAATAAATGATATTATACTTTATAAATAATGTTGTAATATAATAAACGAATAAATATTTTGATATCTTGTTGAATGTATAATGTTCACATTATTGTTTGCATCAAGCCACTTAGTGGGTGGAGTTAGGGAACTGATGATCAAACCAATTGAGATCACTGGTTGGAGTAGTTGGCTGGTGGGACTCAATCTCTACTTCAAACAATAGGTCATTGATTCTCTTCTTTGCGAAAACAAGTTGGCGTGGAGAAAATTTTCTTAGCGTACCCTCCACTGACTTTACATATAATGATATTTCGTCATTCGCTGCCTTTGAACAATGCTCAACACTTAGGCTTGGCAATGGTGCTTTCAAACAGGTTATTGCTTCTCTGTAGAAACTTATTTTCATCTCTTCCATCTCTCTTGCTTTTTCAGCTTTCAGTCTTTTTGATGGCTGTATTGCGCTGAATGGATCAGTCATTGTCATTGAAGTAATTGAGGGATCAACATTGTCACTGCCTTTAACGAACATCATTTCATTAAACAATTTCCACTGTAAGTTGTAAACCGAGTCTGTTCCACGTCCAGATACCTTGCTTCCTTCCTCTCGTTTCAACTCGCGACTAAAAATTGCTTTCAGTACATGCCACTGCTTCTTTATTTCATCATGACTACGACTGAAACGGCAACAAAATTATAAAACAATGAATATGTGACATGACATTTTCACTGTTAGTGTTACTATTTAATTATTTATGCAAAAAAAATTTGTTCCTTGGCCTTGCTGCAAGCTTCGGAATATTATTTGGAACTTTTTGTTACATTGTATTTTGGGTTTCACGATGTTCATTGGCTAAGGAACACTCAGTTGGCGTCTTTATGTCTCATCCGTGAAAAACAACATTTTATTTGGCTATTACAACATGTCAACAAGTGGTTTTCTACATCGTAAATCTCGGCGAGTCCAGCGAAAGACATTGGAAAAATGTAAAATTATATTAAAAACATGAATCGTGGCAAACCTAGGGACGTTGAGGCAAAAAGGTAAAATGTACTGAAATATTGATTTTAATTTAGGTGAGTTGCGAATGTTTGACTATTGAAATATGCATTCTAGAGTAGAACTGAACATAAAGACCTCTACTATTTATACGGTAAATATAGCCAATATTGCAATACATTATGCCAATAAAACAAGTAGGCTATAAGGAAAACATTGTTCAGATTTGGGTACATGGCAAGATTTAATTTTAGCAGGTAAACTAACGTTTTGCACTTGTGCAGTCGCATATTTATACAGTAAACATTTGTGCATACGAATTCGAATAGCCAGTGAGAACTAAAGCATTTTTAAAACATGACTAAATTGCGGCGAACAGAAAAATAAAATGGCTCAACAAAGTCAAAGACTACAATTAATATTAGCAAAAAATCAATAATTTTAATAACCTGGGAAGCATCTCGCTAAGGTTTTGATAGTTATACTCCCTGAGGTTTCTATCCTTGTATGAAGGGATATTATGATTCCACATAGCTTCGTTTTCTTTAAAAAATTGTATAATTATCTCGTTTTCCTCGTCATTCCATTCTTTCTCTTCTTTCGCCTTTGCCGCCTGCAAAATTTCGGCTTTCATGTACGACAAAACGTCCATAAATTTCCATTGTGACTTTATTTGGCTTTCTTGTTCTTTTTTTATCTCTCTTGCTAATGCTGTCCGGGAGCTGTGTGTTACGCGTTTAAAAGTTGCTGGAAGAAGATTAAACGGCTCACAAATTTCCGCTGCCGCCTTTTGTCTTTGAGCTTTGTTTTTATATGCGACTTTGCTTGAATCCCACAGGCATGGGAACTCTTCCAACTTTTTGAACAAATGAAATTTTTGTTCTTCAGATAATTTTGTATCGGTAGTTGAAGACGACGTGCAGTCTTGTGTTATTTCAACGGTGTTATCTTCGCCTTGTTGTAGTGTCGTTCCTGAAACGTCCGCCATTTTTTTTAGATTTGTTGCATCAATGTTGAAAAAAGTAGAAGTGAGTTTAACTTTTCGCTACATATTTCGTCAACTTGCAACACGGAATTTTGTTGCAGGTCAAATTGCATAAATGGGTGGTAATACGCGCAATATCTTGCTGCAACTTGCTCATATTACTCCACCTTAAAGAGCGAATGAATTTGGTCTAATTATGCATATCGCCCACCATTTTGAAAGCACATTTTGGAAAATTATCTTTCATGTCATTTGAGGCATCTGACTTCATTGGCAGGGGAGAAGCCAAACAATACGTTTCAAACGTCTTCTGACTCAGTCAGCTTCCAAAAATGGAAGTGGTTCCGCGGGCCGCAATGTGAAAAGTTGCATCTGATAGTTTGTTAGTAATTGATTCTTTCTATGTACGTATATAGTGTATTTGTCTAACATTTAGGGATCGCAGTAATTGGCACAAGCTGTTGCGATTGCCGTGCCAGTTTTTTGTGTTAACGTTGTTTAAATCTGGCAAAGTTAATAAATAAATAAATAAATACACTGTTGCTACTATAGCTTTTGATCAGTTTTAACTTTTGTGAAGAATTTTCGCCGGTTCTAGGCTTTCTATGGACGAAATTCACGAGAATCAGTTAGGTGAAGTGTTACCTTATCAGTTTGAACCTGTTTTAAACAAAAATACTGGTAGCAGTGGGGCAGGAGCGATTCCGAGAGCGAGTCGTCCTCAAAGGCTCAGACGACGACTTGAGACTTCGATTAAGCATTCGAGGCTGAGAATATTTGGCGTCTTAAATCGCGCAGTTGGTGCAAGTGTGGCCACTGTTCCTTGCAAACAAAGACAATAGGAAGTTTTTGCTCGCACGAAAAGGCTTTAGAGTACGATGAGTACGACCCTTTAGTCACAAATGCTGAAGAAAGCCGTCAATGTTGGTTTAGTTAGCTGTGGGTTAGTTATGGTATTTATAGTTTTACTTCGTTTGGTCAAAATTTTCTAATGATGTCGTTTGTAGTGCAGAAGGTAGTTTTTCAATGATTAACATATGTTCGGCCTCTAAAGTTGTTAGAGCTGCATTTACAGTCCTATTCAGTTCTGGCGATTTATTCTAGTGATTTATTCTGTGTCGTTGCTTCCGCTTCTACACTTACGATACTTGCAGTATCAAATAACTGTCTAATCCACAGTGATTCTGTTGTTATGAATGTCTGTGTTTTGAATATGTGTGATTTACTTGTGTCTTTCAGCGAGGTCTGACTTCTGAGTGTATTTTGATCCTAACTGTGGAGCGTAAATCAACTAAATGTCTTCGCTATTAATAAAAGAGAGATCTGAACTGGCTATGATTTCTTCCTTGCAAACTGCATCTGAGTCTATGTGAATGTCTGCTTTTATATCGCTTAGATTACTCGCAAGTCGCAACCGACAAATTTTCATCCTCTGTTGATGAAAGTGACTTTAACCACTCTTCAAGATTATAAATTGTGAAACAATGAAAAAAAATAAGGGCATTGAAGAAGCATAATTTATTAAAGATATTGGTAAATGTATCTTTCAAGTACTGGTACCTTTTGACGTTGTCTCCTCTCGGTTTGTCTCCTTGTTCTCTTTGATTTTGACGATGCAGATACGTTAGAAACGCTAGCGCTGGTCGTAGGCTTGTCAAGCGTTGGTAAACATTGGGCTTTATGCCCAAACTCGTTTTCTCTGTGTATCCAATGCTTTCGAGGAATGGAGGAGAATGCGAGGGTTCATACTAGTTTACCCACAGGGTAGTGAATGCTGCCTTGGTATATCATTGTTCCCAAATCTTTAATATTTTAAAGAATAAGAGTAAGAAATATTTGTAATGAATTGGAATCATCAATAATTTATACACTTGAATGTGCCGTATGATAACTCGGCGCTCGAAGTTTTATATTGAAAGAGGAACAGCCGAACAGGTACGATGGCTAACAAGAACGAGTGTACTTATCAACTTATCTAACGCGAGGAAAAGATCAAAATGGCAGGTATGGCTGTGATATCTAGTATTTCAAACACTCATTAATAATTCATAAGCTTATTGGCAAATCATGTCAACCATAATATGTCACGTGCAGTGGCTTTAAACCTGAAAAAACACTAAGGCAGTATCTATTGCAGTCGTGCCCTCATTAGTATTTTTTATATAAAGAATACTAATAAGGCAGTATCTATTGAATTTTGTAGTCGTGTTTTAAGCCGTTTAATAAACTCGCAGGTCGTGTTTTATTAGGTCAAAAGCCACTCACGCTGCACGCTCGTGCTTTTAAACCTAATAAAACAGTCGTGCCCTCATTAGTATTTTTTATATAAAGAATACTAATAAGGCAGTATATCTATTGAATTTGTAGTCGTGTTTTAAGCCGTTTAATAAACTCGCAGGTTGTGTTTTATTAGGTCAAAAGCCACTCACGCTGCACGCTCGTGCTTTTAAACCTAATAAAACACTCCTGCTCGTTTATTAAACAGTACATAAAACTGTATAGACAATTTGCCCACAAATACGGTGCTAGGTCAAAACGGCCCAAAGTCAAAACGGCCCCGCTTCAATAATCATATGATTTAGACCAGGGGTTAAAGGGCAATGACAATGACATTTCAGGTGACATTTAACATGTGTGCGTCTCACTAAATTTGCGTGTTTAATAATGTTTATCAAAGAAGGCAAAAATATATACAAGACAACCTCACATGTGGAATCTGTTCACTTATGCACTCCGTTGTGATGCAGTACAAGAACAAATACAAATGACAAAGCATTCTTAAAGGCTTTAAATCCTAAAACATAATTAAATCATACGGCACATTCAAGATTTTAATATCGTATTTCAGCCGCGTTTATACTGCTTGGCGTGCATTCGCTGCGTTATATTAATTTATATACCTATCTATATATACAGATTTATTACTAATAAATCAACACTATATGATAATATATAAGAACTCACAAACTGCAGTCACCTTTTTATAAATAAACCTTTTTAAAAGCATGTCATTGTCATTGCAGACCAGAGGCAAAAAGCACAGCCACATAGGCCTACCAGATTTATTAAGCAATCGTGAGATTATATTATATACATGGAAAGAATATGGAAATTATGTTAAAAGCACCCCGTATAATGACAAAAGCACTGCATATAATGGCGAAAGCACCACGTATAATGCTCGAACTGACTGCGTATAATAGCGAAACCACCATGTACAACACTCGGACCACTGCGTATCGACAAAATGCCGTTTAATCACTTACGCTAGCTATGGCATTCCATAAAAGAAAACCAAAGATGAAAGAAGATCACATTGCTTGTTTGCCTTATGCCTGTTTATTAGGCAAGAATAGCCTGCCGGCCCGGAAGCAGTGCATTGTGGTAGGCCGAAATACGCCGAAACGATCGAGATTTGATCTGCCTTATATATACATATACATAAAGATTAGTACTGCTGCCTCGCTCGCTCGCTACGGCAGCAACCAGGGGTTAAAGGGCAATGACAATGACATGCAGGTGACATTTAATTACATGTGCGAGTGTGCGTCTCACTAAATTTGCGTGTTTAATAATGTTTATCAAAGAAGGCAAAATATATACACAAGACAACCTCACATGTGGAATCTGTTCACTTACGCACTGCGTTGTGATGCACTACAAGTACAAATACAAATGACAAAGCATTTTTAAAGGCTTTAAATCCTAAAACATAATTAAATCATACGGCACATTCAAGATTTTAATATCGTATTTCAGCCGCGTTTATACTGCTTGGCGCGCATTTGCTGCGTTATATTAATTTATATACCTATGTTATATACACAGATTTATTACTAATAAATCAACACTATATGATAATATATAAGAACTCACAAAATGCAGTCACCTTTTTATAAATAAACCTTTTTAAAAGCATGTCATTGTCATTGCAGACCAGAGGCAAAAAGCACAGCCACATAGGCGTATAATGACAAAAGCACCACGTATAATGCTCGAACCACTGCGTAAAATGGCGAACGCACCGCGTATAATGGCGAAAGCACCACGTATAATGCTCGAACCACTGCGTATAATAGCGAAACCACCGCGTATAACGCTCGAACCACCACGTATCAACAAA